TACTAATTTATTGCAATCAATCAAAGAATCATAATTGTTGTAAAAAACAAAACCAGTTTCATCTTTGTCACCCACTTTCAACAATAGTCGATGAAAATCAGCTTTGCCATTCTATACGAGGACCGACTCATCGATCACGCGAAGGATGTTCCACATAATAGTTGAGTAACGATAGCATCTGTTTCAGTATTTTACAACAATCGACCAGTAGGAAATACACGATAGTGATTATGTAGGCGAAATTCGAGTTCAATATAATGGTTTATGAGTGATGCTAAGAAAAAGAATTCAATAATTTCGTATCTTCACAATTCAGAAAATAGACCGTGTGACATCATCGTTAGAAGGAAATCGTTGAAGAAATGTGCAGCAATTTCTATGCGAATTTTATCTTTGTCGGCGGTCGATACAAAATTGAGTTGAACAAGTCGATGATCGAAGAAAAAGGAAGACACAAGGTCTGCCAACATATTAGCCATAATCATTTGTTTCTTCATCATCACGAAATATACCGAATAATTGTGTCTGAATAAGTGAGACTGATTGATTTTCAGCCATATTTTTGTCGTATATAATTGTAAACTACCATGTACAACTGTAGTAGATCATCGTGTCGCGTCTTACACTATCTAATAGAACCGTTCATGACAAATATGCGCGAGACACAGGTTTTTTTCTAGATTAATTAAAAAAAAAAAGACTTGATTTGACTTGTTTATCTGTAGTTTACAACCATTTCGCAAGATGATTGCATATCATCGTCGTTTACAATCATGAACAGTTTATCTAGGTGTTGAGCTATCGAAGTTTTTGTTCCATAACTAACATGTCTCCCACATCGTACTGCTATCATAAATATGCTATATTTATTCGATGCCAAATGAGATGCAGAAACATTGGATCTCCTACGAAAAATGAACTTTAGTGATAATCTATAGATTGACGAAGATCTTTGCTGTACGATAATGCAATTTAACATGATATTCAGATGTTTAGGGATTAAATATTAAACTGAAACGTCTAGAAATTTAATAACATGAGTCTTTTCTAGAATTTCTCGATATGAAACAATCATTATCAGTACCCGATCCCAAACTAAATGGCCGTACGTAATCAGTGCTTCCGCTGTATCACTGGCTAATGTGTATATTATCGTTGCAAGTTTAATCTTTTATCGCTTTACGTTGTTGTCTGTGTCGTCCTTATTATTTACTCTTCATACATACTTCTCTCCACTATGATTTTTCTCTCGTTGCTTGTTTTTATCTTTTCTTCCTTTTGATTAGTTTTTCTCCCGACCTCTGTTACCATATCTCGTAGCCATCTCTTGTCGATGTTGTTCCAATTTATTCTGTTTCTATTCTTTTCTTTTCTCCTATAATGGCCTTCTATTCGTATATACTCGTCTCTTTTCTGTTCTTCTGTTCTCTTTTTTTTCGGATTTCTCAGTTTTTTCACCCTCTCATAGCGAGTACAGCAGAAGAAATTTTCTTTTTTTTTTGTTATTAGACTATTTTTCACATCAGATTTGATCAAACATATTTCGCTTTGTTTTTGAAAAATGGAGAATTTTTTGTTGATTTTATCGATATATCCTCTTTGAAAAAACAGATATCGAACATTCACGTTTCATAAAAAATATGGAATACTCATAGTTACCATCTGTTCTATTCTTCAACCCCTCACAGAGACTATATAATATGTGAATTCAAAACGCCACTGCTAAGCGCTTCCCTTCGGTAAAATATAATTTTTCTTCGAGAAGAAAATACATTCACGTGATCCAAATGCAGCATGATCAAGTATAGGAACGAAAATCTCCTTTAGATATAAAACTAAGTTTTCGAACAAAATTTTCGTATGTTAAAAGACGCGTGTAAGTTATATCGAATTGTCGTAGTTGGATCCCTTTTCATTTATAGATGATAATCTCAATTTTGCCATAAAAACATACTAATAAAATCAACGCAAAAGATTGTGATCGAATCTAACTTGAGAAAATAGCTTAATAAACATCGGAAATTTTCTCTGCTGTACCCGTTAGTTTTAAATAAAGTGATACCAGAAATCAATAAAATTTTTTGTTGTGTTGACGATATTTTCATAATCGCATCGGCTGTGTTACATCTATCAATCCATTTCGAACAGAGTTTTGAAAGTAAGGAAAAAATAATTTCTGCTTTTGATCAAAATCACGCAAAAGAAAACTAGTTACTGTAGGATAATGAAAACGATATATATATAAGATAGATATTTTTTCGTGAAAACAGGATTCTTTTTACATGTTTAGATAATTAAATTATGATTCAAACCCCAACCAATCTATTTCGTTGACCAAAGCTCAGTAGGTAAGGCGTCTTTGAATATGTTTTTTTTTTTAACAAAAAGAGAACTTTAAAGAGTCATTTGTGTATGGTAACAGGAACAATAGCTCCATATTTAGTGTCAAAAAAATGTAATATCTATCAAAATAAAATGCAGTACGCTTCTAAACATATCAAAGAGTGTATATCTAAATAGAAATGGATAGTTCTTCTTCTTTGAGTTTTCTTCACAAAATATCCGTTATTTTTTTATGAAACACGATTGTTAATGGATGGTGAAATACAATGATGTTTAGCATTATTTAGATAGAGAGAATACTTCGATTAATTTTATCAATATGAACACAGAGTTTGATGAGAATATATTAAAATAGATTCGATCTCCTTCTCTCGATCAAAAAAGAACTCATTGGCTAGGATGCCGTATCTGTGGTTGGGAAGATCATTAAAGCAATCTAACAGGGTAGAAACAAGAACGCTTCGGAAGAGATGAGCTACCTTCGAAACTATTGAGAGTAGATGATTATCCTCGGACAGAGTGGTGATCTGAAAATGTTCCTTGGTAATAATGAACAAGAGATCACGATTCAAGACTCAACCATAGCAATATTAATACGCTTGTGTAAGAGTGAGGATGATCAGCGCATCTATGACAACTTTTGTCCGCGATGAGAAAACACTGTCCTTTAGCAGCAGTTAAATGATCACAAGGAACTGCATTACTAATTAGTTTCTGAGAATCTTGCAGTAATTATAAATATCTCAAATTTATTTAGAGAGCGACAGTGAAAACGTTTGATCAAAACTCGAAAAGTATCAGAAATGAGCTTTTGTGTTTGCATTGTGCCGAATTTGACAATGATTCAACATCCTTAATGCAGAAAGTTGATATCGAAATACTTCTTAACAATCCTAAACATTTTTTATCACTTTCGTTTTGTTCAAATACATAAATATGAATTAGTGCACAACACAAATTTATGAATGACATGACTGTTTAAGAGAGTGTATTTAACTTCAAACAACAAGATCTGTCAATAATTATGAAAAAAAAGTAGTATTCGTCATTCAATCATGCTCCAATTTATTGAATTTTTTTAGATAATACATATCTTTTTTTTAGCATCATTGTCGATTAGTACTGTTCAACATCGAATAAATTCCTCTCTCGAATCCAATTTAAACTCATTCAAGTATCTTAGCCAAAAAAACTTGCCATTGATACGATTCTCATTTTAGACACGTAAGATTCACATACATCCAACTTGAACAAAGAACTGAATAACATATGGCGATGACAGAACATTCAAGTGTTGTTTCACCACTACTCACTGATCTCTATCAAATTTCGATGGCCTATGCTTATTGGAAAAGTGGCAAACATCAAGAGGAATCTACATTCGATCTATTTTTTCGTAAGAATCGTAAGTGAATCAAATGTGTTTTCTGTGTCAAAATAAAAAGGTTCCTGTCAAATATGTATGTGTGTAGCATTTGGTGGTGAGTTTACATTGTTCGCTGGCCTTGAAGATTGTCTAAAATTTGTACAAAATTACAAATTTCAAACATCCGATATTGATTATCTTCGCAAAGCATTACCAGACTATATCGAAAAGGAATTTTATGATTTTCTATCGACACTTGACATGAATGATATTAGAATTTATGCAATGCCTGAAGGTAAAATTATGTGTTTATATACTTTCTTCTATATTCTCTTAATTTGTCATTTAGGTTCTGTGGCTTTTCCTCGCTTGCCGTTGCTTCGCATCGAAGGACCTCTTCTTAAAGCACAACTACTCGAAACAACTCTTCTAACACTGGTCAATTTTGCCAGTCTAGTAGCAACGAATGCCGCGCGATTTCGCACGGCGGTAGAACCCCAAAAAATATTACATGAATTCGGTCTCCGACGTGCACAAGGTCCAGATGGAGGTCTTAGTGCCTCCAAATATTGTTATTTAGGTGGATTTGATGGTACGTCAAATGTACTAGCTGGTAAACTATACGGAATTCCCATTCGAGGTAAACATCTGTGATAAAAAATTTGCCACTCTCCTAACTTTTGAAATTAGGAACACATGCACATGCTTTCGTTAGTTCATATCAAAATCTTGATGAGCTGAAAGTTCGAGAATTATCCGATCGAATCACTGGTGAATCACGTCCATTTGCTCAGTTGTGCTTGAAATATCTCGATGAACTTGGTTCAATACTCAAAATCTTTCCTGACCAAACTAGCAAAGGCGAATTGGCTGCATTTATTGCCTATGCTATCTCGTTTCCTTCTGGTTTCTTGGCTTTGGTCGACACATACGATGTTCTCAAGTCCGGTGTTCCGAATTTCTTGGCTGTCGCTCTTGCATTACACGAATGCAATTATGAAGCACTTGGTCTTCGTTTGGACTCCGGTGACTTGGCCTATTTATCATTGAGAGTACGAGCGAATTTTGTTGAAGTTGCTCAAAAATTCAATCTATCTTACATCGAACATTTGAATATCGTAGCAAGTAATGATATCAATGAGGATACATTACATTCATTGGAAAAACAAGGACATGCAATTGACACATTCGGTATTGGAACACATTTAGTCACATGTCAAAAACAACCTGCACTTGGTTGTGTCTATAAATTAGTCGAAGTAAGTGTCTATTAGTCGAGAAAAAAAAGTCATAAGAGTTGAAAACTATTCATTATTCTCGGTTCAGTTGAATGGAAAACCATGCATCAAAGTAAGTCAAGATATCGAAAAAGTGACAATACCTGGTCGAAAGAATGTTTACCGATTCTACGATAGTAACGGTGAAGCTTTATGCGACTTGATGACTACAACTGACGAATCAGAACCGATACCTGGCACTCGAAAGCTCTGTCGACATCCATTTTATGAAACGAAACGTGCCTATGTTACACCAACAACGGTGCAAACTATGTATAAATTGTATTGGGCTAATGGTCAAATTCAACATGCATTACCGACATGGCAAGAAGTTCGTATTTATGCCCAACAACAAATCAAAACAGTGCGTAAAGATCATCGACGAAATCTTAATCCGACGCCGTACAAGGTCTCTGTTACCGATCATCTCTATTTGTTCTTACATCGACTCTGGATGAATAGCGTACCGATCGGTGAACTTGCCTAATAATAGAATCAAAGAACAAATGAGAACTCAAGACTTGAACTGGAATGAATTGATTGACTGCTGTTCGTGTTTATGTACTTTAGTCTTTTTTATTTGTATTTCATCTGCTACACCTTAGAATACATATTAGCTCTCTAGTTCATGCCTACGTATTCCTTTCTTTCTTTCTTGCCTATATTGTTATGTCGTTGATTATGTTACGTATGAACAAAACGTATAGAATGAAGAGCAAGTTACTTTTCTAATAATAAGTGATTCTTTTTCAATTATTCATTCAAAACTTTAGAATTGTTGTATTGAAACTTCGACTAGATTATGACGAACACCAATTACACACGGAACAATCTATCAATCACATTAAAATTATTTCAAAATAATGTTACATTAAACAATCGATAGTATTATTATACCAAATGTGCGTAGTATAGAAGTAGGGTGTGGGTATGGATGTTAGTCTTCTCTTCAACCATATCCATATCCAAAGTCACATCCTCAATTTAACTTTGAGAAGTGTAAAATTTTTTCTCATTTTGTAACAATTCGTCCGGAAAAATTTTCGCACATCTACAAAAAAACCATGTATTTTCGATTTGTGCTCAGAGAAAATGATTAAAAACAAAGCTTTTTGCTCGAAAAATATTTCAAACTCGTCGGATACGATTAAGCTATGGATAGAGAAATCCTAACGATGTACTTATGAAGGGTGTGGGTGTGGGTACGGGCGTACTTCTTCTCTTCATCCACACCCAGAACAACATGTACACCCACACCCTTATGCTCATACCTACATCCTACTGAGTCATTCCAATAATACACATAATCGGATCGATAATCTAGCTATGAATTAGTTTCACAAAAAAATTATGAAAAGTCTCTAAATTGGAGACTATTTTTAATGGAATGAACGTGAGAGTCGTCGTAAAGTCGCCAGTCCAGCCTCTCAGCTTTCGAACACGAGTAAGTCTGCTTCATTCTAACCGATATGTCAATTATCTAGAAAAGAAGTCTGATGGAGCACCTCTGTCCAAGCCATTAGCAGCCATCACAACAAGAGTGCGGATGTAAGTGTCATTTTAATGCACAAGCAAGCTATGCACACGCTACAATCACATCCCACCACACAGTCACATCCACAAATAACAATCATATGAGTATGACAAGATTCATAATTATTGAAAACGAAATGTAAAAAATTGATGAATCATTATGTTAGTCAGTAATTCACTAATGTTCAATGTCAATGGGGAAAAAAATCTTTTATTCATAATCGTATTGAACTATGTATTCAGGATATGCTTGATAATGATTGAAAATACAAAATTCATCGATCTGATGTGTATTGGAAAAGTGTACTGCATGAAAGCCTTGTGGCGGTGATTGAAGACCATTTTTACCTAGTGTCGTTTGTCCAAGTAGTACTTGACAAATAAAAAGTTCACGCCGATGAGGAGTCTTTTTCATCACATATGGATCATTATTTGAATAGCTTGCATTTAAAGCAAAATAGATCCCATCACCGATGAGACCGTTCGGACAATAACTCCAATAGAAACCATGAAAAGTAATCAATTTTTGTTGTGATAACGAAGCAGTACCATGAATAAGACGTGTACTAGTACATTGAATTTTTTGTTGTACTTGTTGATAAATATTCCACAATCGAATATTTTGAATTCGAATAATTGAATAGATCACTGTAGATGGACGTCCAAGTGATTTAATAAAATAATTAGATACCTCTTGAAATTCTTGAGATGATTGAGTGAGTGGAATCAATTGCACTGATGAGTCACTTGGGGACGTATTAGTCCAATGGGAAGGAAATTGAATGGTTGGATCAACAATTGTATCATTTCGAAGTGCTAATTCTTTTTGTAGGATACCCAAAATAGAATTACCAATGCGAGATTGTCCTTGTGCTTGACGTTGACTAAAATAATCAACAAGATCTTTCACTTCTAAATCGGTTTTCGTCATAACAAAATTGTAGGGATCATTGGTTAATTGTGCGATTTCATAATTGATTCCATCAACCACTTTATCGTATAGATTGTTTGATACTATCGCTTTTCCATTGTTCCATAGTGTGTCAAGTTCTTCCTGAAGTTGGCACAATTCATGTAGTTGAAGACTGCCAAGATAACGAATTCCTTCGCTAGCTAATTTGCTTGCATACATATTCGGTTTTGTTCGACAGATATTCGGATGAATGCAAAACAAAAACTGGACTAATTTTCAATGCGAAAATGTGTTTAATGATTTTTATTTCTTATAGGAAAAAAAAACTACTGACACCATGATTGTGAAAGATGTTTATGAATAATTGTAAATATACATGAAAGAACGAACGAAAAAAAAAACAATTCTTGACAACATCGTCATCAGGTGTGTGCGCATGGTCGACATTAATAGAAGCATCACAGTGTAATATAAGTTAAATTAAAAATAGCTACAGCAGAAGACAGACATATGTTTTACATTAAAATTATCAATCAAATACTGTCTGTCGTTATTTGATCAATCCATCGCAGACTTTTTACATTGAAAACCATATGAACAGAAACGGAAACAACATAATCTCTCTTTCATGCATCAAGTTTACTTTATAGCTGCAATCGAGTTGGCTTACTCATTTGCCTTTTTTTTCTAAAAAAAAAGAACACATTAAGTTTCCATATAAGCAAACAGTACATGTGCTACCCCTCTCTTTCGAGCTGTCGTGCATAACTACTTAATTTTGGGAGGGTGTGGGTGCGGATACGAGCGAAGACAGGATCCATCCACACACCCATCCACACCCTCAGGTGATGCCTGTGACGTCCCAGGCCTCATTGCCAGCATCTTAGTTTTCGGTAAACAACAAACTATCTTTCAGAAAAGATTAGGCCTATCAAATGACTTCTTCAATCAGGTGCCGATCTGAGCATAACTACTTGAGAAGTTTCTCTAAGGCCGGAAGAACTCTTTGAACAGTTTATTTCATCTAAGCTGAAATGTGGAAAAAGATCAGATCACATTACTTTTACAAGCACTTCATCAGTTTCGAAGTTTTGCCAAATGGTCCTACGCACGCCCCACACCAACACCCGCACTCCAGGCTGAAGCCCAGACTCACAGATCTATTATGGAAGTTTAGAAGATACATCAACCTAACGACGAGAAAACAGAACACTGCATTTAACGCGGAAGAGTGTGGGTGTGGGTGTGGGTGGGTGTGGGTGTGAGATGTGGGTGGGTATGAGTGTTATCATTCCCTCTTGGTATACCAACACCCACACTCACATCACACACCCCATCCACATCCACATCCATACACCCACCCTTTGACATCCATTCTTGGCTGCTTGGTTTTGCTTTCAAAGTGAGAAAACTGCAAGTCTCTATCTTATTCCTATGAAACATGATTCACCAGACGATTACACTTCTTTTATTTTGAAACAAAGAATATTTTACAGTAAAGATTTTTCTTTTACATCGAATAATTTCTAATATTCATATAAGTTCAGATCATGACTGTTAGTAATATTTACATAGGTATTGTGGCCACTTTATTCGTTTTATTCTTTTGCTGAATACAAGTAGAAATAACAGGTGGATTTCGCCTGCAAAACTGTTTCCAATAGATTTCAGGCATGCCAATTAGACAAGCAAATGGGTGCAATACAGCAATGAGATAGAATAGATAGAAAAAATATAATTGTTGAATAATCACACTAAGACTTGTCGGACCATTAATCACTTGATAACATTGGACAAATCCAAATGGAAGATAACCACATGAATAGAGAATAGATACAGGAAGAAATTGTAAGATCATCTTGCGATGCTGTCGCCATTCCACTGCACGTCGCATCCGGCGATACTTTTGCCAAAGAACACGAACCCATAGTCCTATATTCAGAATAACAATGAGAATAGATGGAATAACAGTGTGAGCAAATTGATCGAAGACACCCAATGCCGGAGGATCAAAGACAAAGCATAAACCAGCACAGACTACTTGATTGTAGTGGAAATGGTTTTCACATGGATGAATAAAAGCAATATATGTGTAAAACAAAATGCAATACCCGAAAATGACAACCAATGGAGTATAATGTATGAAGAAACGTTTTCGTTGTGTACTGAGCAATTGTTGTTGGTGAAAAATAAGAATATGTCGTTCAATTGATTGCCAAAGCATCAATATAGAAACGAGTGCATAGAGAAGCAAATCGATAAAATTCCAGATGCGACAACAGGCGTCAGTGCTGGGACTGACAATACCAGTGCGTAAGAAGTTGAGAATCATGGAGAGATCGACAACGACAGTAATGAGACCAACGAATAGCAAGACAAGTGAAGCATGATTGTGGAGCGCTCGAAGCGTAGCTCGATTAGATACAATGTGATAGATTAAACCGATATAACAAGCAATCGATGGAATTTGAAGGGATAATAGAACACTAAACTTAATATGACGACTCTCGATTGTCTCCATTGAGTAGCACAAATCTTATATTTCTAAAAGCCGATGAATTTGTAATTTAGATAATTCGATATGCGTATCAACTACTTCGCCATGCTAGTGTCAGAATTTGATATCAAAAAAAAAATCAAAGAATATCTAACTCTTTCAATACAGACTTGCACGATAACGTCACGACTCCGTCATTCAGTCGAGAAAACTTTGATTTTCTTTAAGAGACATCAGGATGTCCATCACTATATCTTATCCTGAATAACTCAGGTGCCATAGTGCTTTTCTCTAGTATTGTATCACTGAAAATGACTTCTGCCATTCACAGAAGCAAAACTCCAAAATACAGTCGATAGAAAAATTGTGAAGCTTGGCATTCTCTATTGATTAATATACATGATGTGCGTTTAACATTCAACTGATACTATAAGACCATGACAGGAATCAGCTAGAATATAAAAAAAAAGCTCGTGCCATCAACTTATTCTTCTTGAAGTGATATGATAGGTCTCTTCTTTTATGTTAATTCAATATATGTCTCATAGCAACAAAAATCTATTGATTCATGATTAAAGAGTCTTGTCTTTGCCTTATTTTATGTTCGAAATCACTAAAATATTAATTGAATTCGAGATGGAAATTTTAGTGAAAAGTTCGGTCTTGTGGCATCTAGAACTTGTTTTACATGAATATTCGATAAAAAATTATCTAACACAAAGAATAACAACTGTAACTCTTGCACTGCAACGAGTTTTGCAAACTGAGAAATTTAATGAGAGAAAACTCGAATTGTGCGCAGTTTTCTTTCTCTATGGTATTGTAATTCAATATTTCATTTTGTCGAACTGATCGATTCGTTGATGATAATGCATCATTACATCAGACAAATAATTATCAATTGATACTACGTTACAGAGTACAAGAAACTAAGGAAGATGTGTTTGTCAACGTACGTCATGTCTTGTCATTGTTTTCTTGAAATGCAACCGTATAAAATTTGAGAATCTAAGACCTTTTCTTGATCAATGCTTACGACTTCAAACACGACCAAATAGGACAGGATTTACCTTATGTATACAACCGCTTCCTGCTATTAACGACCGCAAATATCTGTCATTAGGTATCTTGGTAGTGGCATATCAGAATTCTTCATTTGAGTTTCATTTGTGATCATAAATCATTGCAACCTCATCACTTTTCCTTGTTGAATATGTCGAACATTTTCACTTTACCACGCTCTTTTACTGACTGTTATACCTCTTCAAATTTCTTCTAGATGGTTCGTAACACAAAGTATAGGATATTGAAGAGTAATTCGTATTCTGATCGTTCTAAATTACATTCAAGCAGACGAAAAATGAAAAAGTGCGTGAAAATGCTTAGAACATGTCGATCGTTCTCCAATGTCAATTGTGGTTCCCGATTGCCACTCAAAGACATTCAAAAAAAAATACGGCATGAAAACGATCACACCTCACATAATCTAAACGTTTTGACTACCTATGTGTTACAGATTTTTAGCCGTTTCTACACCTACTTTTTGTAAACATTTCTAACTTACAACCAGAGATCCCAATTAGCATTGTGAAATGTTCAGATTTTTCGTGCGCTTATATGTTTACAAAAATTAAACTTTTCTAACTGGGAATTGAAGATTGCGATAAGCGTCCTAAGACGATCTGATTTTTTGTGTGTGCGCACCCCCGACTTTTCCGCTCTATTTCTACACTTTTTCTAATTTGTTTTTTTATTCCGTGATTTTTTCACCGTTTAAACCATTCATGTAATAGTATTAAATGATACTATGATAAACAAACCTATCTTTTTACCCATTAACTTACATACAAATACATATAGCAATCTGTCTAACTACCTATCCCATGCATGGACTATATATGTACAAATGTAACTACCTACTTAACTAATTATTCCTCCATACGTCTATCTAACTAAAGTCGATTTCAGATTTAAATATACCTCGATATTTTTATAATAAAGAACAAGAACTAGAGTTCGAGTTTTCACGACTATCTATAGTCGACATTGCTCTCTCTCTTTTTACACAGTCAAAAATGAATTCGCTCGCTTTTCATGTTGTACATACGACCAAATTTCAAGACGATCACTATTTGACTTAGATAAAATAGAAGCTTCCAAGTCCAAGTGTAATAATATGATTAGAAATACCAACATCTCCTCTGTCAAGCAACACATGACTGAGATAACTAACTATTTTCATTCAAAAGTTATAAGAATTTTATTGAAGACCTACATCTTAATTTTTCAACACTTGAAGTTATAAGAAATCTTTCTAAACATTATATTACACTTGAAAATACATATGTATCTCGGTCGGATGGAGACCATCTTCAATACTCACTGTGTATGTGGTAAGAAAAGCAACAGGATTTTCTGTTGATTATAGGTAATATCAGAGACCCCAAAACTGTTTAATTCTTGTTGTTTTACAGTTATTCAAAAAATGTCTGTTGTCGCTTAACTCTGCAATACACATTAACTATCTATTTCACAATCTGTTAATCTTACTGTCTATCTACTTATCTACTAACCTAACTATTTGCTTAAACATCTTCTTCATTAGATGTCTGACTATTCATCTAACTATATGTGTGTCGCATTATCCATCTCACTGTGCAATTAGCTAACTAGTTAGACGGTAAATATTAATTTGATTGACAGATAAAATGTCAAAGTATTA